CAGGTCCCAGTTCCATTGCAGCCTCAGTTATCTCAATTCGTACAGGTTGTTGGTTCCCAGAAAGTGTTGCCTAGAGAAGAATTTCAATCAACTATAATTATTGCATAAATGTTTAAGTCAAAAACTGCAGGACCTTGAGAGTATCATTTTTCCGTAGTACATAAGTAATGAATTAAAAGAATGCAAGGTCGTACATCTGAAAAAGAAAACTAAGCTTGTGAAAAATAAAAAGTCAATTTCTACAAAGATCACTAAATAAGTTAGTCTATTTGTGTCTTCTTCAAGAAGTATACAGGAGAACACTTGTCATACTTTTGTTTGGAGAACTTACTTGCAGTCGATAGGAAAATCATAGCAATATATTTCAACTAACATTGAAGTTATGTTTCGGATTTGGAAATGTCAAGGAAGAAAATTATAATTAATGTTGATAATTTACCTTTACTAGTTCACCTTCGCAGTAACCATCAAACTCCGCTCTGCAAATTAAAAAACAATAGAAAAACACAATAAGAATGTGAATAAGTATCTTAGAAAATCCACACAATAAAAGAAAATAAAGATGAGGAAGAGTCAATATGGTGGACCATACACAGCAAGTTCTTTCTGCACACGTACTGCCTCCACTTGGACAACCATCTGTGCCTTCTTTACTGTCTCATACAGATTTTGCATGTTTCCCAATATCCCAGCCTATTTTCACCAGGTATAATGATATAATTAGAGCAGCAACAGGAAATCAAGCTAGACAGATAAGAGATAGCTTGGGATTGAAAAAAGTAGAAACCATTACCCTTAAATGGTTGAATCATTTAATCAAGATTATTGACTAATAATTGACAAACTATTCGATATGTTCTTTTTATAATGCAAGCTCCATTAATAAAACCCACAAAAAGGTAAAAAGGAAATAACCTGCGTACATGGTGTATAAACAATTGTACAATACCAACACACCATGCTATTGGTTAATATCCAAAAAATCTATTTCATCAGCACAAGTAGGGACAGATTTGAACCAGAGAAATGAAAAGAAATGTGAAGTGCTATTCAGCTTTCTAACTGGGTGACATGCTTGAGATCTCTCCTCCAATTAGCAGCCATGGCCCATGGGTAATAGTTTAAAAACCCCACCTATCTCCCAACCCAAACCTAAAAAGTAAAAAGGAAGAAAGGGAAAATGCAGACAAAGTGAGCATGCGCCACCCTCTATATCTCAAGTTAGTCCCACCACAATTTCAGCAGCTCCTGTTGAAAAGAATGGTGGCCTACCATACAGCTTACCACTACAAGCACAACCAATATCCAAAATCATGCTTCATTACTTGCACTGTTATAGCCTTACTGTGTTAAACTTACAGGCAAAATATCTAAGCCCTTGTTTGATCCCCATTATCATAAAACTCATATTTTTTCTCAAACTCATTTTCAACCTCGTAATCCCATAATAAAATATTTTGCACGTAAACCTAAAACATTTTCCTATTTTTTAACCGCACATTCTTCAAAAATTCACTATTACAAAATGCATTTTCAACCAAAAAAAGGGGCTCAAACACATGCTAAAACTTCAGTATTTTTGAAATATGACTTCAAGAATGTCAGAAAGAAGCTAATGAGCAATATAACTGAAAAAGCATTAAATGTATTGAATATTGACAACTCATTCCACCAAGATAACAATAAATAAATCAATAAATAAAAATCATAGCAGGATGTCCAAGCATGTATGACCTAAAAACTAAGAAGGAAATAGAAAGTCGGTGATCAAAATACATTTTCATCTAAGTTGTTAATTTTAATTCCAGGAGTGCCTAAGACATGCCTTTGAAGAACCATCATCACTCTTATCATTGTTATCCTTTTTACTACCAAATAGACCATGCACACAAAGAGATCTTCTAGCCTTCCCAGTTTGACTTCTTGTCCATGACAAACTTGGAATAACAATGGGATAGATGCTCTGATTCAATTTACCTGAAACACAAGAAAAGAAAGTGAAAAATGTTCGCTTCAGAAAACATAACATAAATACCGATAAGTTCATTAAACAACTAAAATGCTAAAGATCTCAAACTATACCAATGAGCATATAATACATGAAACCGCAGGGAAAAAGTTTCAACGCAGCAGACACCAAGTAAATATGAATAAGAATAAATTAGTGTCCTGAGATTGTCAAGGAAACACCCTAGTTAGTAAAAAAGTGTTTTGCGCTCCTCAAGGAAATACTTAGCTAATAAAGATGTGCTCGGAGCTCCTCAAGAAAATACCCTCTTACAACAGACAAAGGAATCCATTTGAACATTCTACTTCACAAGAAAGAGAAAAGAAGAGAAGAAAGTAGCAGATTTTTAGTAGTACATTTTAGATGGACATGTAAGCCCTGGCTGTCATTTCCCATATTGCATTCAAAGCTGTGCTTCAGTAGTTTCCTTTCTTTCTCACAAATTTACATGCTGACATATATGTTTTGATGCCTTATTTTCATCAGATCACTTTAACCATAGTCATACTAGGTTGTATGCGACATTTCATCAGCAACTTTGAAGATCTTCATCCAAAAGAAGTCCCAAAGAAATCATGATCAGTATAGAGATCACTACTTTTACACATATTCCTCACACATCATAGAACCTTCGTCATGCAATAATAATACTTAAAACAGAACCACAAGATACATGTATGCCACAATGTAAACCAAAAAACTTCAAATCATCCGTATTGGTACCACGAAGCAAACTTTACTGATAAGATTTCCAAGCAACCAAGTTAGGCACGGAGAAAAAGAATCTTAGGGGGTGGAGTGGGAGGGGAATCCAGAGGGTACCCAGGGCACCAAGCCAGAATTATGCATTTGAAATCATCAAGCTTAATGCAAAATTCAGTTTTATTTATATAGGAATGGTCCCGTACTCTCTGATGTACCTTAGGCAATGGGGACATCTTCATTAATAGATCCATTGGCACCGCACTGCAAATGATCCATGGCAATACAACAAACCAGGATTACTTAATGCAGTTCAGGAACTTAAGTCCTCCAAATTTACCTTAAAATCTAGGCCTAAAGCCAGCGCAAATTGCTATGGGGAAAGATACCATGGTGCTCTATAAGGGCAGCTATATAATGAGGTAGAATGTATTCTATCAGAAAATTCATGTCGGACACAATCCAGAAACCCTAAATCAGTTCACTCATGCCAGACATGCTTCTATACCTAATTTGCCAGGTGTGCCAAATACTCTTCATCCATGTTTCATGCTCGAACAAAACTTACACCTTTTGAATTGTAGAAACAATCAGGCGATAGGCTATACTAAGTTGAGATAACCTTGGATGCTGTAAGGGGAATCCACAAAATGTGTTGGTTGGTCCTCTCCTTCGAATCACAAAGATCAAATGTGGCTGCGTTCTGTGGATTTTATAGACAGGGGAATAACTTTCTGGTAGAACTTCATGCTTTGTTGGGGGCAAGAACTAGGATAATACTTCTTGCTAGCAAATATTTGGTTGACCTGGACTCAATAAATGTCATCTAGTGAGTCCAAGAAATTTCTATAGGCTCATGGGATCATCAGAAAGTCATAGATGAGATTTTTGTTTGATCTTCAAAAGTGCAGGGTCACTGCAGCTGCCTATTTCTTGCTAAGAAGGCGTTTAAAACAATGTGCAAGAATTCATCAGTCATCCAGCAAATCACTGAATTAAAAAGGTCTTCTTGTCCCTAAGATTGTAGTAGTGTACGGGCTGGGCATCATTGCAAGGAAGGTAATGCCTTCTACACATTTCTAGTGTATAATGTGGTATTCTTTCTCCCTTATGTACTTCTGGAGATCAGGTATATACCCCTCCCTTCATGCAATCTTCTGTTTTATAATCGAGAAGTAGGGGACTATGCTAAAGGCCATAACTAAACACACTGGTCTTATTACAAAGAAGAACTAGCAAGTATCAATTAGAAGAAGCGACTTCGTGTGAGAAGGCCGAGGGATGATATTTTTTAGGATTATTCTATGTGTACACCTTGTAGTGTACACAATCTTTTACACCCCCCTCACATGGAGGGCCATAAATATTTTATTGTGTGTGGCCCCCCTCCATGTGAGAGGGGTGTACACCATTGTGTACACATAGCACTACCCTTTTTATTTTTTATCCCAATCGGTGTGGGATCAAGGTTGAGTGGCCAGTTGTCATGGCACAAAACAGGTGGCCTTACCAGTGTAGTTACATCCTTGATTAATACGTTCTCCTTTGGAACATTTATTTATTTTATTTTTTTAATGATTTTTTACAGCTTTTCTGAGTGTCATACATATCTGAGTAATATGAATTTATTATTGAGCCTATTCTAACAAAGTTCATACCTCTTCAACTTGAAAGGAATATTTACATTTTTCGTTCCGTATGAAACTTACTTTTCACAAATGTTTAGAAACATTAGCTGAAAGCAATATATAATATTTAAATCGTAATTTCATTGACTTTCTAGATCCATGTGATCCTGTCATGCTCCTTTTCATCGCATTAAGCAAATATGAATCTTCTAGTATTCAAGCAAAGAGTGCAAAACTAATAGTCCTCATCAAACACCAAAATAAGAACAAAAAAAAAGGCAAAATGAAAATCCTTTTTGTATTTAGGGCGATCGTTTTCGTTGTGAACCGTTTCCAGAAATACATTTAAGAACACTCAGAAGGCAAATTCATCTGACGATACAAATTTACAGCCCTACAAATATTTCTAAATAGATTCAAATGCAATTCCCATTTCATCCATTAATACTTAACAAAAAAATAACCAACAACAGTTCATCCAAATCCATATCAGTAGATAATTAACTAAATAAGACAGAACCCAGAAAAGGAAAAGCGGGAAAGCTTACAGGAAGATAATGGATAAGAAGAGGAAGGAAAACTGGGACTTTTACTGTCAATGTAATGGTGAAATTGAGGCGTTAGAGCTGCAATTGGAGACGCTGCCATATGTTGATATTGTGTACTGATTATGCTATCAAAGATTATGGAGGATTTTTTCAAACAAACGCACGCACAGGGAGAGATTTAAGAGTTCGGATGGAGGATAATACGAGTGCTGTCTGGAGTGGGCAGTCGCATCTTCATTTCGCAAATAAAATATCTTGTTTATAAATAAGTAAATTTCACAGCGGTCACTGAACGTTACCTTTACTTGTAATCAGCCCCCAAAACTTTAATTTAGAGCAATTACACCATTATACTTTAATTTATTAGCAATTAGACTATATTAATAGAATTATAGGACAGATCAGTGACGGAATCTCCATGCGTTCTTTCAAGTCGACAAAGTAAATGTACTTGCAGTCACTGAACTTTAGTCTTACTTTATAATCAGGTCACTGAATTTTTATTTAGGACAATCACACCACTGAACTTTTATTTCATGGTTCTAAAAAAGCATTTTAAAAAAAAAAAATTTGTGATGTTCTTTTAATTATTTGAAGACTATAAATAAATAAAATAATGCATATCATTGTTGGTAAATTTGTTATATACCGCGAAGATTAATGACGAAAAATACAAATTTTTCTAAAAAGACGGAGCAATTTCTATAGACTTAAGATGGGTGAAGACTTTCGTAAATATGAGAGGAGAACAATTGACTCAACTTCTTGTGTTGATGATGGATTATTTATGAATAATTAATCTTGATATCGTTTGGCTCAACTCTGAGCTTGTTTGGCAAAGCTTAATGTATAATTTAATTTGGTCAAACATACTCTTTTATCCACACATTTTATGAGACTCACAAACCAAAACCCATTTTTTGATTATTATCAACACATTCCAAGATCCACGGCTTATAAGCACTTAAAAATACTACTAAACAACACTCAATTACTCTAATCGCATGAATAAGCAGTAGAGAGGGTTCTCGATGCAAATATTTTGCCACGCTAAACATTTATCCTTGATGTTCAAACCTGTAGTAGAATCCTATATACACATTCTTCCAATGGTTATTGCATGTTGAAGTGTAATAAACAGCATGGAAGCCAATCCCTTTTAATCTACGAACCTCTCAGTTCGAGCAAAACTACATACAGCTGCAATTTCAGAATCATAGAACTTCCTGAAGAATCCAAACCCAATTACGATCCACTTTCTGTTGATTTTGACTCCACGTGCGCTACTTCCTTGGAAGCAGAAGATTGCTCGTCTACAGATGTACCCGGCTTCGTAGGTTTCTTAAATTGCACTAAGATCATGGTCATGTTGTCACAACCCACGCCTCCAGCAGTTGATGGCGCGAGACACCTATCGAATACTTTTTCACAGACAACGGAGAGCTTATTTTCCTGGATAAGCAGTTTTACAATGTCAAATACAATGATTCGGATACAAGTCACGAATAACTTCAGTCTAACCAAAGTAGCTTAAACATGGTATTCAAGAACTTACAGATTTCAGCTGGTCACGTATGAAATCGACGAGTTGTTGGTTGGACAGGCAATCCCTTGATGTATATAAATATAAAAAAAAAAATTTACGAAACTTGATTAGTCAAATATTTGAAGTCAGGTACCACGAATTCTATTATCACAAACGCAGAACCTAATCGTAGTAAAAAGTCCAGATATGAAATAATAAAAAGAACATATGGCAATTGGCGAACATTCAGGATCATCTGCTAGCTAAAGATACAGGTAACTCAGATAAGCAACAATGCCAGATAGCGGCAATTACCAGGATAGTAATATGGAAAATAATTCAATCCGAAAACATGTGTTTTCTTTTTCTTTTCTCAGTAAAATTAGAGTGTGTGCTACAAAGGAAAACGAAAACAAACTTACAACATCAAATTATCACCTTCTATATTCTGCTTAATGATGTATGAATCAATGCCAGTGCAACTTTGAGGGACAAATAAAAGAAAAGCTAGGAACTGATTTTTTCCCATTTTCATTAGTTCATTGTCAGTCGAGAAAATATTACAACACGGGATGTTAATTATTTTCTGTCTGCCAGGCATAACCTACATGTTGAAACAACTGATGAGGAAATTTATAGACAAGCCAATGTCAGCATTCGATCCATCCAGACTGAGGTGAACAGACCCCAAAAAAACAACAAATTCTGAATATATGATGGTAGATTAAAAGGACTCGGCTTTCAATAAGGTAGTAAGGTCGTATAGACATTTCAAAGACATGGGACCACGATCCTCTTCACTGGAAGAGAATTTTTAGGGAATATCAATCTAATCTACAGTTTCCTTTCAGACAGTGAAGGAAAAGACAAGATCAGGTCAAAAGATATAGAACTGAGCATCCAAAAGGAAAACAAGGGATGGCTATGCTATAATGACATTTAAAAGAGGTGGAATAGACAAGGTCTAAGAGAGAGACGAATAAGGAATTTCTAAGTTCGCATTATTCCGCAATTATTATTTTTCTTAATCAGATGAATGGGAGTTCCACGAAGCAACAACCACAACAGCTTTCAATCAAATGTAGTATATTCTTCAGCTTGATAAAAGCTGGCTAGGAATAAATTGTTCTACACCAATGCAAACCTAATCCAAAATGTTGCAAGAATTTTGTAAAGAATAGGTGTGACTATAAAACATCATAAGCTAATTTAACAATGGAGAAACAAATTCAATAAACTTCCATTATAAAATGATCCAACATTTAAAATATCCAGTTCGATTATGTTTTCTTTGCCTAATCCACTTTGCAGAATCTGGTATATGAATCCCAAAAGATAAGTTCAGAATGCATACCAAATGCCATCACAGGCAAGCACAACGAACTCATCATCACCACAAAGTTCAACCTGGTAGAGAAAATTGAGAAAAATCTACAGTTACCAAAAGCAGAAGGCAATAGCACTTCACTGTTGTGCTCATTTGATAGTAGAACAAATCCTGATCCCTGAGCTCAAGTAATGCTCAGACAAATTAAGTCCTGAAACATAGTAATAGTATTTTTTATTTTTTATTTTTTTGTTAATTTCAATCATNNNNTTATTTTTTTGTTAATTTCAATCATGGTAACTTTTGGTTGACAAAGGCATGGCATGACCAGAGCTTTACTTCGTATGGTGACCTTGAATGGTTCATTTCGTTGTGTTCAGTTTCTTGTGCATTTCATCAAAGTAAACTGGTCCTTGGGTGTTGTATAAATCTTGAAAAGCCCACAAATAATCACACAATGGTTTGGCTAAAATATCAATTTATGATGTTTAGTGGATCTCAACTGTGTAGGATCCAATAAATTTGCATACCCAAACTTCTTGTCAAATATATTCAATGATATTCAATAAGACGTGATGCCCCTCTATGTGAGAGGTTTTCTCATTATATAGAGCCAAAATCATAACTAAATATGATAAAAACAATCTATCTATAACAATATAATCGTAATTTTCGCCGATCTCCATAATCTTATTCAATCTCATTGACATCCTCCTCAAATTGATGCTGGTAAAAGCATCAATTTGCAATCATGAACTGGCAATAGTGACAATATTTGTGCCTAGGAAGTAAAAATCCAAATCAGAGCAATCGTCTACGAAAATTAGTGACGACGAGAGACCAAAAACAACAAATAGTACAGTAACCAACAAAGAGCACTCCAAAGATACTCCAGAGAACTCACTCTCAAAGAAGAATTTCCAAAAAAAATTCACGAAGTGTGCAGACACATACAGTGAGTTCTATCTGTCAGGAAAACTTAGTCGAACACATAATTCAGATTCCTACAAAAGCTCTAACGCCAAAACATCAGCCAAAACTCCAGATACTGCAGGTGGAAGAAATCCCACAAAACAGCCTACACCAAAAATCCAAAGATGTGATCCCCTTCTAAGAATCCAAAATCATCCAAAGGTGATCTTTCTTCGAGAATTCAAAACTCTAGCTCATCGCCTGAGCAACAAAAACTCAACGGATGTGATCCCTTTCTGAGAATCCAAAACCATCCAGGGTGATCTTTCTTCGAGAATCCAAAACTCTAGTTCATCGTCCGAGCAACCAAAACTCAATGGTGTGCACTACTATGTCTCTCTTTCTCTCTTCCTTAACCAAAAAAGGATTTTTTTTTTTTTAATTATTATTTTTTTTTTTTTGAAGTGGCATCTTTGCAAACCCAAAATTCCATAATCTAAAACTACAGCAAACCTCAAAAACCAAAATAA